AATAGCTAACAATAGATGGCGGTATATACATGTAAACAAGGAAAGTGAAGAGAGGTTATGTAAAACTACAAAACCAGTTTTCCAGAAAAGAGATTCTCAACCGGTGGGTCGTACTGTAAAGCTTCCTTTTTCCACTATGTTGGATTACAGGAAGCACTTCTAAAGAATACACGAAAAAATATCCTTAATGACTGCCAATTGTAATTTTGAACTCTCAAAAAAAAAATATATATATATATAAGAAGTTGGAAGAATTTTACTTCGTTAATAATTAAAGTATAAGCTAAACAATGGCCCCAAAGACGACTTTAGCTTGCCTGCTAACATTTATTTTTTTATAAAGAAGTTCTGATTAAGGAGTAATGCGACAAACTGTGAAGTACGATAGATCCTGCTAAGACAACCAATTGTGTGTCTCCACACCGGTTTCTGACACGACGTTTATGAGCTAAGTGCCTGCCCAACAGATCGGACGTGACAGGCAATACAATAACGAAAGAGAAATAATGATGCATTTGTTATTTTAAGTGTAGAAAGATTATAAAAGTAATTCATATTGTCTACTCTGAACTTCAGTCTGAAGACGACACTCTTCTGATAGGAATAAGTAGATCCTAATCTACGCGTTATGAGTTATGGGTTGTTGCACATAAACTGTGCTTTTCTGCAAAATAAATCGTGCTAAAAAGGTCCTGATTTATTTAATGTAAACACAGGGGGGAAAGAAGTAATAAATTAAAGTTTACAAAGGTGTTTTGAAATTTTAAATCCGCGTTTTTTCCTAAAATATAAACTCATTGGTAAATTTAAATGTCTTAATGTAAATATTCAATTTAAACTTCATTATTTAAATATTAAGTTTTTTATTTCAACCTTGAGTAAATTCAGCAAACGTTACAACATTGCCTTAAGGGGATGTTGTAATGTTCGGTTTAAAAAATATTTCACCTAATATACTGCTTATCAAGTTATTAATAAAGAATAAGTAATTATAGTTATCGTAACCATGTCTAGTTTATGAAATAAAACACCATTATTATTCTGTGCAGTGTATATGACACATTATGATTTACAAGGAGATATTGCGCTTTTTGGTCTTACGTACTGTACAGCAGAACATTGTATAAAATTCGCATTAAAGTAAACCATAGGATAAAAAAAAATGTTACTTTCTTTAAATTAAAAACATTTAGAGTACTCTATAAAACACATAAAACTGAAGGAGACCCCACGAAAAGTTAGGTAATTTAATTAATTTAGTTTAAAACCTGGAGAAAAGACACTCATTATTCATGGTCATAACCTAGAAAAACTCAAAGAAAAACCCGCTTATCAATTCGAGAACCGGTCATACATGCAAATTTCCACCGCAGGACACAGAAGTGAGTTTTAAAAAATTGATTTCGTCACAACATAGTGCAATTTAAATGCATATCGTAAGGATAAAATTTAAAAAACAATTGTAGGGATTAACATACGAAACTTGTTTTCTATAGGATAAAAATCAGGAAAACGTCGGGATAGTCCTTATCTCGTCGAAATTGAAAAAAACTTCCCTCAAATTTCTTTCTTCAACTATCATTAGGTATAAACCTAGTATTCGCTGAACATAGATAAAGAGATAAAACTAAATTTGCCATACCACCCCATCCAAATGCATATAATATCATAACACTTCCACAACGTTGCTGTTATCTTGGGGGAATAAACTCGTTTTTTATATATAGAATTAAATAAACAAGTCAACTGAAACAACACACACGTAACAAAATAAATTACAAAAAACATTATGGAAGACAATATTCTGGCTTCGAAGGAAACAGGTTGCATCCAAGTTGTAGCTCCTTCTATTGATAAAAAATACGTAACATGGTTTAATGCCTGACACTTTACCAAACAATTGGAGGTAAAATGTTAATTGTATTACTTTCTGTTACGCAAGTGTTACGGTGTACGTTGAATTCAATACATAAATAACTTAGAACAAAGAACACCGATAATGGAAATTACTATCGTTTTTTGTTCTAAGTTAATTAATTGTTTAGACGTCCTTTAGATTAACAGATTCAGCTAAATAATGTCAAAAATCTTAAGAAAGCTCACATGTATGTTTTCATTTATATACTAAACAAAAATTTTCTATTAAAATTTGAATGTCTAAGCAAAATGTTATTTTCTTAATGATATTTTACATCTTAAAAATGCAATAAATAGCGTATAAAGGTTATATCTGTAAGTTTAATCTGTAAGTTTAATAATCTGTAAGTATACAAAATTAGTATACTTTGAGGAGTATATTCAAATAAATATTTTTTTAACTTCAAATATCTTGTACGAAATCTGCCCGAAGGCGCCTGATTGTTAATTACGTGAAGGTTCTCATACATTTATAAATTATTTTTAATCGCTTATAAACAGTTTTATTGTTTTCTGAAGGCTAAATTACTTTAAATTCCAGTACTTTAAATTAAAATTAAAGTACTGGAAGTTTGTTAAACAACTTTACAGTTATTACAATAGTAACCACTTGTAACATCTCACGATATCGTTATATCCCAATACAAGCGATGTAAGGAGGACCACAGTATTTATATAATATTATATTCTCATACTATTATATAGAAAATTTAGATTAAGTTTTTTATTATATATATTATTAAACACTCGTTTTTCTTTTCACTCTCGCACACGAGTATCTGGAAAATAAATTAAGGCATAAATTTCAAAGTAGATATTTTGTTGACTAACAAATATACTACTGTTAATAAGCATGTAAACCGTTATATTCAACTACAATTGTCCATTCAAGCCTGGTAGTTGTCTAACGGGCATGTTGCAAAGAGATTTTCAGGTGTTTCTTCTTCCAAAGAACACGTGAATAAAGACAACTTTTTACCAAAAAAATACCCCCTCTTGGCAGATAACTCATGTGTTTCATTGCAGTATTTCATTAAACATATTTACTATCGTAGTGGATTAATTAAAGTGAAGTTTTACATAATGCTTGTTGTATTTATTGTTTTATTATGTTAATAATTTATAATGACGTATAGCTACGTATATGTTTTACTTATACAACGACGTCACAATAAACTAACTCATCTTATTGGACAATAGGTATAGATATAAAAATAAATCCTGTTTTCGCGATTAATATTCTTTCCTGGTTCATGTGGAAAGAGGTAAGCATGAAATATAATTTCTATTTCTTACAGATATAAATTGTAAATATGTACAATTAATCAATGTATAAGAAAATAATTTGTACGCTGTTATCATTAAATTATATTGTAAACATTCCTGAACGGTAATAAAGTACTATAAGTTATATATTTATATATATACGTTCCATGGTCGTTGGTGTAAGCATACAACTTAATCACTCTTAGAATTACAATTTGTGGAAGTTTTTAGTACCCAGAAGAAGGAAAGTGTTCCGTTTTATTTCCTCTCTGGATGCCAATGTATACATACAGAAATAATTATACATAGATAAGAAGATTGATTGATAAATAATATACATAAAACACCACTCTGCATTTCTCATAGAGTATAAACTTTGGCATAACTTTCTTTCATAAGTGAACGTTGAATATTTCTCATGAGCTAAATACACGTATAAATAAATAATAATGATGTGAAAATTAAAAATTCATAATCAGAATAAATATAAATATTATGAACTAATGATTATATTTTCTTTCTAATTTCAACAGGAGATCAAGGATTTAAATTTCAAATGGATGATATTTTTCTTTTTGTTTTCTTCGTGCTAGAAAGTATGATATTGAAAGATCTCCTCAATTACTTAAAAATTACTTCAAAATTAGAATAGACTATTTCCAATACTTTAAGAATCTTTTACCTTTTAAGTTGGGGCCTTCTTTAGATTTGAATATGATGCAGTTTTTACCAAAACTCAATCAGGATGGAAGTTACATTTTCGTTTACCAATTTCGTAAGTACGAATTTTGTTTATTATTCAATACTTTAGGGGGAAAATTTACTAAAAATTCAGTAAAAATACGGTTTGCCATTATATTATTAATTATAATTCCATGCAATTTTTTTACATACGTTTACTTTTTTACTTTATTGATCTCATGAACACCTATAAGACAATTTTCTCGAGCCCTTAGTGGGTTTGATCAGGTTCGTAATGGTAGTGCCGAATAGTGAGGGACTTGAAAAAAAGCCGAGCCAAATCGCCACGAAAAAAATTTCTGGGGTTTGTTGTCTGCCCGAATTCGATTCCCGATCCCCATATAAACATTCAGATAACGAAATAATAAATGATCTAGCAACTCGTCTAGTTTTATCTTTCGGTTGCATAAAACACTATGCTAATTTACGTTTTATAAAGTGTAAATCTTATAATTTAATTACTATAAATAAAAGTAAATGTGTTCATTCAAACTCTTGTAATGTTACTCGAATAACTTTGTATCATTGTCGCATTTCTATCATTTTTCACCTAGAATCATCAGTTCAATGGTGACTTTTATACTTGTAAGTAACTTCTGATTAATGTAATGTAAATATTTAGAAATAAATTCATATATTGTATAATTAGATAAATAAAGGCTTGTGGCNCTAGTTAATCTGCAGATTAGCTAGGTAATCTGCAGATTAACGAGTTTCGAGCTTTAGCGGTAACAGATAGATAAAGTAGTACAGTACTTTGTAGCACGCAATATTATTTGAAAAATATGGGTAGAGTGATTTTTAGAAGGTCCAAGATTCGAATATAAATTGTAAAATGGTTTATCTTTAATTACAAGATTTCGATTTATAAAAGTTGTTAATAACGATTTAGAAAAGGAATTTAAAAAGATAGTATATTAACCTTAACCGGTTTATTATGAAATGAAGTGGACTTTCACTTCAAGGTTTTCACCTTTTTTTTTATTGTTTTATAAATGATAAGAATAATTTGCTTACGTAAGTAGTGGTTAAAAATATGTTATAAGTAGTAAACATTATTTTAAATTTTTAGTAAAATATGAGTGTAATAAACATAAAAAATTTAATATTTGAGGAAGAGAAAGAAGAATTCTCTTGGGACGAAAACGCATTAAAAGCTTTCAAAAAGGTTATCAGTAAGTACAGATTTTTACTACTCATAGAAAATAAAAGAATAAATATAAATATTATGAACTAATGATTATATTTTCTTTCTAATTTCAACAGGAGATCAAGGATTTAAATTTCAAATGGACGATATTTTTCTTCTTGGTTTTCTTCGTGCTAGAAAGTATGATATTGAAAGATCTCTTCAGTTACTTAAAAACTACTTCAAAGTAAGAATAGAATATCCCCAATACTTTAAGAATCTTTTACCTTCTAAATTGGGGCCTGCTTTAGATTTGAATATGATGCAGTTTTTACCAAAACCCGATCAGGACGGAAGTTACATTTTCGTTTACCAATTTCGTAAGTACGAATTTTGTTTATTTTTTCAGAACTTGGAAGAAAAATTTACGCAAAAATTCAGTGACGATTCGGTTTTAAATATGATCATCTAAATATATACAATTACTTGTCCTGACTGATTACTGAGTCACTGATCGATTCATCATCGCTCAGATCAAACCTCTGAACTTGAGATGAAATTTGGTACACATTAATAAGGGATTTTTCGAAATTCCCTCGCGGGGGAGAGGGAGAGCATTAATGCTTAATTTGAAGAAAGGTTTTTGAAATTGATTTCCATACTTTTTCTTAAATTGATAAGATTTCAGACATTTTTATAAACATTTTTATATATTTCGATTTTTTTAACCAAATGTTCGAACCGTTTTAAATTCGAACTTATTATTGCATATTGGTTCGTTTATAGAACGATTGTAAACGTTCCAGTAAATTGATCAAATTGAGAATAGTTCGTTTGATTCTCGGCAATTCTCATCATTCTCAGCGATTATATAACAATTACTGTGGTTGTTGAAATATTGAATATAAATGGGGTTTGCTTTTAAAACTTCCGCGGGCGAAATTGCGGGTAACAGCTAGTTAATTATAATTCCATGCTATTCTTTTACATACGTTTACTTTTTTACCTTCTTTCTGCTTATGTGCTTCTATAAGACAATTTTCTCAAGCCCTTAGTGGGTTTGGCCAGGCTTGTAATAGTTGTGCCGAGTAGTAAGGGACTCCATATATGATATATGTCCCCTATCCCTTAATACACTTGACCTATAACTATAAAATTTAATAATTTGAACAAGACGGCAGCGACTCCTACAATCAGATTTAACACCAACTGTGACTTTTTGGGTTAAAGGAACCTTTGAACCGCTCGAGCGGCCACGTATGTAGTACTTTACAAAGTAAGGGATGAAGAAGGGAAACGATTGAGAGACAGAGAAGCCCAAAAATAACGTACTTTATTACGTATTTAACCACTAAACATAATGATTATTTTTCGAATAAAAAGTGCAAAAGCAAAGAGTCTTAATGAGCGTCTTATACGAGAGAGTGTTTAAGCTTCAAATTGGGTAAACAAATTCTTCCACTCACACACGTTGCAATCGTATAAAAAACTTCATTTTTTTAAAATTTATGTACGTTTTACGGTCTTCAGAGTCCAAAAGTTTAAAAATTTTGGGGTTGAATTTTTTTACCGATTTCCATACTTTCTCTCTGTTATATATATGGCAAGGGCAAAGTAGAAATGACAAATTATTTAAAGTTCTATAACCGAATAAAAAATATCTTTATACAAATTTTTACAGGTAATTGGGATACTTCTGTTGCAAATGGTATTGAGCTCCTGCGTGCCATAATGATTGTTATGGATTTTCAATTAAATTTTCACAGAACACAAGAAAAGAAAATTGTTTGTATTATTGACTCAGCCGGTATATCATTGACGCATTTCTACCATTTTTCACCTAGAATCATCAGTTCAATGGTGACTTTTATACTTGTAAGTAACTTCTGATTAGTACAATGTATATATTTAGAAACAAATTCATATATTGTATAATTAGATAAATAAAGGCTTGTGGCAAAAACATATTAACTCATTTTTTTTTTTTTTTTAGATTCTGAATAAATCGATCTAATGTTTCGAATTTGCCAAACAAAGTTAACGAGTTCTTGCCCAAGGAATTAAAACAGGTTTATATGGAATTAAATACAAGTTAAAACGTTGTAGAACACTAAAAAACGTAGTGATTGTCAATTGGCAGCGTAATAAAATTATAAGTGTGTTGAATAGGCCAATAAATACTGACTTTTAACAAAAGAAAATACAGTAAAACTAAGAAGAAAAATTAGAATAAATAGAAAAAAAATAACAGTTAAATTTCTTTCCTCTCTAAAAAAAAATTGAATTTTTGAACACTTTTCTGATTCAGAAAGAAAAAACAAACTATGAGTATAAATGTATTTTGAAAAAAGTCATTTAGTAGGATTATTAGTTACACGAAATTAATAGTGAAACATTTATAAAGCTTGAATGGAAAATAATCAGCATTGATTAAAGTAAAGTTAAAATTATAGTAGAGAATTAGCAAGATAGGATAAGAAAACAGTAAGATTAAGGGTGCGTTTACTTCTGAGTTAGCAGTGCTAATTCTGATAACCGGATGTGACGTCATTAGCACGTGTATTCGTGCTTGCTTGTCCAATTCAAAAGTGAACACATANAGAATAAATATATTATTCTTAATGTATAATTTTATCAATTCGCTTGTTGCATTAAAAAGTAGATAAGTTGATAATTATGATTTTAAAACTTTCTGTTTACGTGATACTTCTTCCTCTTGCGATTCCCATAAGGAGTGCAGTGCAATAACATAGAACGACTGTAAGAGAAAAAGTGCAGTAAGATTTTCACTTCTTTTCAATACAGTAGCAATATTTACACATGAATAACAGATTTTATTAATTGTAATGGTTATTTATATAACAAAGAATAACATTTTAAATTAACAAGTATAAAAATTAGTTGATAAACAGGTTATTAATTTAATGCCATATGATTCAATTTAAAGATGATTGACAATTAATGTAATGACTTTCAATACCGTATTAATCGTTGTAAAAGAGTTTTGTGTTTAAAAGAAAAAAAAAATAATAATGTATCTTCGTAACTTAACAAATATTATAAAATAATGAATGTATTTATTTTTCTGATTTTAACAGGAGATCAAGGATTTAAATTTCAAATGGACGATATTTTTCTTCTTGGTTTTCTTCGTGCTAGAAAGTATGATATTGAAAGATCTCTTCAGTTACTTAAAAACTACTTCAAAGTAAGAATAGAATATCCCCAATACTTTAAGAATCTTTTACCTTCTAAATTGGGGCCTGCTTTAGATTTGAATATGATGCAGTTTTTACCAAAACCCGATCAGGACGGAAGTTACATTTTCGTTTACCAATTTCGTAAGTACGAATTTTGTTTATTTTTTCAGAACTTGGAAGAAAAATTTACGCAAAAATTCAGTGACGATTCGGTTTTAAATATGATCATCTAAATATATACAATTACTTGTCCTGACTGATTACTGAGTCACTGATCGATTCATCATCGCTCAGATCAAACCTCTGAACTTGAGATGAAATTTGGTACACATTAATAAGGGATTTTTCGAAATTCCCTCGCGGGGGAGAGGGAGAGCATTAATGCTTAATTTGAAGAAAGGTTTTTGAAATTGATTTCCATACTTTTTCTTAAATTGATAAGATTTCAGACATTTTTATAAACATTTTTATATATTTCGATTTTTTTAACCAAATGTTCGAACCGTTTTAAATTCGAACTTATTATTGCATATTGGTTCGTTTATAGAACGATTGTAAACGTTCCAGTAAATTGATCAAATTGAGAATAGTTCGTTTGATTCTCGGCAATTCTCATTATTCTCAGCGGTTATATAACAATTACTGTGGTTGTTGAAATATTGAATATAAATGGGGTTTGCTTTTAAAACTTCCGCGGGCGAAATTGCGGGTAACAGCTAGTTAATTATAATTCCATGCTATTCTTTTACATACGTTTACTTTTTTACCTTCTTTCTGCTTATGTGCTTCTATAAGACAATTTTCTCAAGCCCTTAGTGGGTTTGGCCAGGCTTGTAATAGTTGTGCCGAGTAGTAAGGGACTCCATATATGATATATGTCCCCTATCCCTTAATACACTTGACCTATAACTATAAAATTTAATAATTTGAACAAGACGGCAGCGACCCCTACAATCAGATTTAACACCAACTGTGACTTTTTGGGTTAAAGGAACCATTGAACCGCTCGAGCGGCCACGTATGTAGTACTTTACAAAGTAAGGGATGAAGAAGGGAAACGATTGAGAGACAGAGAAGCCCAAAAATAACGTACTTTATTACGTATTTAACCACTAAACATAATGATTATTTTTCGAATAAAAAGTGCAAAAGCAAAGAGTCTTAATGAGCGTCTTATACGAGAGAGTGTTTAAGCTTCAAATTGGGTAAACAAATTCTTCCACTCACACACGTTGCAATCGTATAAAAAACTTCATTTTTTTAAAATTTATGTACGTTTTACGGTCTTCAGAGTCCAAAAGTTTAAAAATTTTGGGGTTGAATTTTTTTACCGATTTCCATACTTTCTCTCTGTTATATATATGGCAAGGGCAAAGTAGAAATGACAAATTATTTAAAGTTCTATAACCGAATAAAAAATATCTTTATACAAATTTTTACAGGTAATTGGGATACTTCTGTTGCAAATGGTATTGAGCTCCTGCGTGCCATAATGATTGTTATGGATTTTCAATTAAATTTTCACAGAACACAAGAAAAGAAAATTGTTTGTATTATTGACTCAGCCGGTATATCATTGACGCATTTCTACCATTTTTCACCTAGAATCATCAGTTCAATGGTGACTTTTATACTTGTAAGTAACTTCTGATTAGTACAATGTATATATTTAGAAACAAATTCATATATTGTATAATTAGATAAAGGCTTTTGTTGAGAACTCGTTAACTCATTTTTTAAGCTTCTGAGTAAATGAATCTAATGTTTCGAATTTACCTTGAACACATTACAAATAATTGGTCAGTCTGTAGTTAATATTGAGGGCTAGTTAATAGAATTTATGAGCCACTGTAAGGATTTGATTCATTCCTTAACCATTATCTACATTACTGTTAATTTATTATTATATAGTCACAAAGGTGTTTAAAATGTTCATATTTATACACTGAGTTAAAATATATATTTTCTGAAAGTTGACAGAGTCAATTCAAACACTCAAAATGTTAATCATTGAGTTATTTTATAACTAATGATTGATAAATTCGGTTGAGAAATGACTGGCCATTTCGAATTGCCTGTAATATATTATAAAGTAAGTAATTTATAAAATGTAGTAAATATCAAATCGTTTTATGACATTAATTAAGAGAATTGAACTTTTTAATTGTTTCTTTAAATATCTTTTATATAGAGAAATTCCTATATGATTAGATATAAAGCAATACATTATGTCAACCTGAGTATCACCATGAAGGCAGTTTTAAGTGTTATATTTCCACTTTTATCAGCTAAACTCCAGAAAAGGGTAAGTAATTGCAACTTTCTCACTTATTTATTTTACAAGATATTATTTTCATGCTTTAATTTAAACTTACTGGTAATATACATAAACAAACACACATCACATATATTTTAATACAGATATATTTAGTGCTAATTCAATATTATTCATCATCTCACAATGTTGTCTATCACTTATAATTTTCATATTCTAATTAGTTGTATAGATATGGGATTTGAATCAATTTCTACAACTATGATTTTAATTACAGCTTCATCTTCATTCTGATATGGAATCTCTACATAAATTCATCAGCCCAGACTGTTTGCCTTCGGATTATGGAGGAAATTTACCAAGTTTCGATCCCACTGAAGCAAATAATATGATTAAATCTAACGAAGAGTTGTTTATAAGAAACGAAGAATACGTGAAATTGTACGAAGAACAACTAAATAAAAATTTTACTGAGGGTACATTTAGATACATTGGCGAGGATGCAGAAGAGGAAAAGATGAAAAAATTTATAGAAAAATCAGAAGAAAAATTTAAATGTCATTCTGACAATCCAGAGGCTTTCATAGCTGCTTTGAAAGAAGATTCTGAATTTGAAATTACTCATTTTTAAATACTTTCTTGAAGTTAATTTTTTACTAAACAAAATTAGCTAATGGTGACTTTCTTATTTTGTGTTAGTAAATTAATATTTGGAAATCAAATTTTGTATGGGATATAATTTTGTATTAATTAAAATATAACAATTTTATAAGTATAAAATTTAATTTTATTGTGAATAATAATAAAAAAAAAGTACTTGGGGAGCATCTGTAAGTGCTGTGTCTTCGTTACTAATTTATTTCTTTTTTAGATTTCTTAGAGTTTTATATTTTTTGTAGAGAGTTTCGGTTTGATATAATTACACTAACGTAGTGAGATGTTTAAAACGTTCTATTAAAATCAGTTTAAAATCTGAAGAGAAGACACGAATGTTTGTTTTCATAATTTAGAAAAACGCCGAATAAACACCCGTCAGTTCCAGAATCGGTCATACATGCACATTACCGACCGCGGAACATACACCTACGTGTTTTAATAAATTGTTTCGTCACGAAATCGCACAATTTAAATTCATGTCGTAAGGATCAAAATAAAAAAACTGTAGGCATCAATGTAAATGTACAATCGAAAACTCTATTAAACAGCTTAAAACCGACAATCAAACCGTAAAGTTTACATAGTGAATTTCAAAATTCCAACATCGTCACGTCATTGATCTCATTGAGCTATACATACATTCTGTTTCTTAATGTTAGAGCCATTGTGAAATAATGACATTAATAAAGAAGTAATAAAGCACATTACCAAAGAATATAAAAGAGTTGATTATTTGTTTATATCATATAATAGTAATTTTATCGAAAAGCAATAAGTAAATAAAGATATGAATGAATTTTAACAATGTTGTACAGGATATTTTTGTCTGAAAATGATATTACAGTATTTATGTTGAAGTGGAACTAAGTGATTTTATTTAATATTAATTAATAATATGTCCACTTTGTTTATCAATTACTTTCTGAAATCTATATGGCATTGTTGTAATAAGATTTTTTCTGATCTCCTAATATCGTGCCAAGCCAGATTAAATAGTTGTACTTTGCTTTGCATTTCTATATACTTTCTTTGTTAACGTACAACACCTGTTTTCTATAGGATTAAGATTAGGAGAACCGCGGAATAATCCATGAATTTGCATTGTGAATGAGTAGTTCGAGTTTAATTAATTTATTTTTTTGGTTTTAATTATACTAAATACTAAATTATTTTTTATGTTTTTTTATATGTAAAATTAAATAGAAGTATACAAATCAATTAAAATAACTGATACTTGTGAAAAATTTTACAAAATCAATTACAAAATAACATTAATTAAGACAATATTGGCTTCGAAGGAAACGGGTTGCCTCCATGTTGTATTAAAAAAAAAAAATATGTAACATTACACTTCAAACAATTGGGTATAAAATATTGATGGTGTTACTTTCTGTTACGCAAGTGTTATTTACTGTTTGTATTGGATTCAATACATAAATAATTTAGAACAAAGAACATCTATAATAACAATTACTGTCGTTCTTTGTTCTATGTTAATTAATTGTTTAGACGTCCTTTAGCTGAAACTATTTAGATAAAGGACGTCTAAAGCGTAATTCCATAACGGCAGATCCCGAACATTTATTTCAGTTATCATTGGTACTTATTTCAATTATTATTATATATTTATTTAATTATAAAGTTTCCCTTTTCGTGTTCACGCTTAATTTATTATTATTATTATTATTTGAATAATTCATAATAATACATTTTTCATTTATACCACGACGTCATAAGAAACTAACAATTCTTTAGCTGCATTTACATTTCACCTTAACCGGTATATAATAAAATAGAATGTACTTTCACTTCAAGGTTTTCTCCTTTTTTTATTGTTATACTTGCTGCAAGTACCCGTTTCGCTGAGTTTTTATTTGTTTTTGCATTTATCTGTAATATAGTTTTATATACTGTATATATAAAAGACTGTTTATCTTCCTTTATGTAATCTTTCTCTGATTCTATGTGTCTTCCTTATTATTTTCGAGTTGCTCTTCTGTATGATTATATTTTTTCTTATAAAAATTCAATAAAAACTAATAAAATAAAATTATTTTTACAGTTATTTAGAATACGATTGGTAAAGAAAAATTCGAAAAAAAAATTCAGATAGTTATTTTTAATCATAAAATATTTAAAATTTCTGGAAACATTCAAAAGCTTCTGAAATAATATAGAATATTATGGAACATTCTTAAAGGATTTAAAAATTATTAAAGGAATCCAAAACTTTCCACAATATTAATTGTTTGTTTTTATTGTTTAATTTATTTTTTATTTGATTATTAATTAAAAAAATGTACTATAATGTATTATTAATTTAAAAAGAAATGAGAGGGAGTAGGTTGTAGGGGTGAAGAATAAGAGTGAGGACAGAGAATATGTGAGATAGTTCTATGATATTCCAGAAAATTTTACAACTTTCTAGAAAAAAACTGGAACATTCTCATTGAAGCTTCACACATTTTCGAAGTCAACCACTTTCAACCCCCATATCTCCCACACCCTTATAGCTATCGAGATGCAACCACCATAGTACACGATGGGAGACTTGGTGATACTATCACACATAAACACCATTCATGTTCGATGTGTAGTTTTGGCTGCAGAGTGAAATATAGGCACAAACACGTCCATTTATATATATATAGGCTATATAGATAGATATAGATAGATGTTAAAAAGAAATAGTACAGGTAATTTGCTTACATAAGTAATAGTTAAAAATATGTTATAAGTAGTAAACATTATTTTAAATTTTCAGTAAAATATGAGTGTAATAAACATAAAAAATTCAGTATTTGATGAAGAGAAAGAAGAATTCTCTTGGAATGAAAACGCATTAAAAGCTTTCAAAAAGGTTATCAGTAAGTACAGATTTTTACTACTCATAGAAAATAAAAGAATAAATATAAATATTATGAACTAATGATTATATTTTCTTTCTAATTTCAACAGGAGATCAAGGATTTAAATTTCAAATGGATGATATTTTTCTTTTTGTTTTCTTCGTGCTAGAAAGTATGATATTGAAAGATCTCCTCAATTACTTAAAAATTACTTCAAAATTAGAATAGACTATTTCCAATACTTTAAGAATCTTTTACCTTTTAAGTTGGGGCCTTCTTTAGATTTGAATATGATGCAGTTTTTACCAAAACTCAATCAGGATGGAAGTTACATTTTCGTTTACCAATTTCGTAAGTACGAATTTTGTTTATTATTCAATACTTTAGGGGGAAAATTTACGAAAAATTCAGTAAAAATACGGTTTGTCATTATATTATTAATTATAATTCCATGCAATTTTTTTACATACGTTTACTTTTTTACTTTATTGATCTCATGAACACCTATAAGACAATTTTCTCGAGCCCTTAGTGGGTTTGATCAGGTTCGTAATGGTAGTGCCGAATAGTGAGGGACTTGAAAAAAAGCCGAGCCAAANTTATTCCATCAAACCAAACCAAATCAATGCTTCGATCTCTCTCTCTTCATCGTGTATAATGATGTATTTTTCGTCGCTCCTTAAACTGTAATTTACGTATTTATGCAATTTATTAATAAATTGTATATTGTTGTCTTAGGAACATTATTATTAACGCATATACAGATTTAACATCATTTATTAAATAAACAATTGTTATTTACATCTTTTACTTGTCCGTAATCTATAATATAATCGAGACGGGATAATAATAATAATGATAATAATAAGTGCAGAGCCCAAACGGTTAGGAGTTGGTAGCTGAAATTTGGTACACAGATAGGGTACGTCACGAAAACGCACACTAGGGTGCGTTTACTTCTGAGTTAGCAGTGCTAATTCTGATAACCGGATGTGACGTCATTAGCACGTGTATTCGTGCTTGCTTGTCCAATCGAAAGTGAACACATACGCTAACAAGAAATATGGCGGTTTCCAGCCATATTTATTGTTAGCGTATGTGTTCACTTTTGAATTGGACAAGCAAGCACGAATACACGTGCTAATGACGTCACATCCGGTTATCAGAATTAGCACTGCTAACTCAGAAGTAAACGCACCCTAAGTAAAACATTTGTTCATACAGACAGTCAGCAAAGCCACTTCTATGTGGTTTACAGAATTGTGTTCGTTGTCAAAATTCGATCGATTGATTTTGGTTAAACTTTGTTATTTTCTATTAACTTCTATGAAAAATATAAAAATATAATTTAAAAAAATGTGTTTCCATGACTTTGCTTTCCAGATCGTTCCAGATCGTAGCATGAGTGCCTATAACAAAACGACATTTGTCACGCGATGTTCCAAGGTTGCTAGTACGTCTTCTTTAAGCTTAAGAATTAAGTTCGTTTCCAAAAATTTACGGGCCGATTTTCATAAAAGTTTGCCACGTTTCGATTAATTGAGACGAGGAGTCTAAAAATGTAATAAAAATGGGATCCACGACTTCTTTTTCGTAACACAGTGGTTCAAACTGACAATATCCATGCTCCCTTACGCAATTGAGCGCCCATAATAAAAATTAGGGGCAAAAATAATAAACGTGCAAGGATCACTTCTTCATGCTCAACAGGTTCCATAATAGCCTATTCCTTTCCGACTTCGCCTCAATTATACTTGTTATTTATAGTGGGAATTTCATTCATTCCTTAACCATTATCTACATTACTGTTAATTTACTATTTTATACTAACTATGGTGTTTGAACTTTTCATGTTTAAACATTAATATGTTTAATATACATATTCATAAAATGCCCGGAGTTAATTGCAAACACTCGAAATGTTAATTATTGAGTTATTTTATAATTAATGATTAATAAATCGGATTGGCATGAATTTCGGTTAAGAAATGATCGGCCATTTCGAATTGCCTTTCTTTAATATATTATAAAGAAAGTAATTTATAAAATGTAGTAAAAATCAAATGTTTCATAACATTAATTAGTACACAGAATTTAACTTTTTAATTGTTTTTTTAAATATCTTTTATATAGAAAAATTCCTATATGATTCGATATAAAGCAATACATTATGTCAACCTGAGTATTATCATAAAGGCAATTTTAAGTATTATATTTCCACTTTTATCAACTAAACTCCAGAAAAGGGTAAGTAATTGCAACTTTTTTACTAATTTATATTAAAATATATTATTTTAATGCTTCATTTTAAACTTACTCGTAATATACATAAACAAACACACATTATATATATATGTTTAGTGCTAATTCAATATTATTCATCATCTCACAATGTTGTCTATCAATTATAATTTTCATAGTCTAATTAGTTGTATAGATATGGGATCTGAATCAATTTCTAAACTATGATTTTAATTACAGCTTCATCTTCATTCTGATATGGAATCTCTACATAAATTCATCAGCCCAGACTGTTTGCCTTCGGATTACGAAGGAAATTTACCAAGTTTCGATCCCACTGATGCCAATAATATGCTTAAAGCTAACGAAGAGTTGTTTATAAGAAACGAAGAATACGTGAAATTGTACGAAGAACAACTAAATAGTAATTTTACTGAGGGCACATTCAGATACATTGGCGAGGATGCAGAAGAGGAAAAGATGAAAAAAATTTATAGAAAAATCAGAAGAAAAATTTAAATATCATTCTGACAATCCAGAGGCTTTCATGGCTGCTTTGAAAGAATATTCTGAATTTGAAATTACTCATTTTTAAATACTGGAGATTATTCTTGGAGTTAATTTTGTACTAAACAAAATTAATTAGTAGTGAATTTATTTTATGTTGCTAAAGCAATGTTTTGAAATCAAATTTTGTATTAATTATAATATAACAATTTTATAAGCATTTAGTTTAAATTTAGTGTGAATAATAATAAAAAATATTTGCTGCTTTTTAGTATAAAATTTTATATGTCTTTTTTTAAAATTAAGTACGATTCTAGCCTTTAAACGAATAGCTTATCAGTTCACGCCTAATTGAAAAGGGATTATTACATCAAGACGAGAAGGAACTAGACTCAATTATTCAAATATAACTTCAATTAATGTGTGAAATACATTTCGTGTACACAGCCTTTTCGTCAGCCTATTTGAAGATTAGACATATAATAATAAATATCTAAAATATTGTAACAAAACACAGTTTACAGACCGACATTACATATAACACAGGGCATTGTGTACAGAATTATATATAATACTAAATTAAAACTAATTAAAATGATACAATACAATAGTAAAACAAATAATCGGTTGTTGTAGTTACTCAGGAATATTGGTTATTTTAAAAAGTAAAAGGGTTACATTTTGAAAGCAGATATTAGCTTTTAATAATACGGTAAATGCTAATCACGAGTTATTAAGTCCGATCCCACTCGAGTTATATGGCACATAAGTCTTGTCTATCTCTCCGTCACCTACAACAACAAAATTTAACAGCATCAACTCTTCGTATATAGAAATAATCGTACCAAATTAAGTTAAAAACGCATTTACATCTGGTGTATATTATTGAGTAACATTTTGAAGGAGCGAATATAGTCTACTTCTATAAAAATTTAGCAAAGAAAAACTTTGTTACCAAACAAATTTATTGTTTCTATTAATGAATTTAGAACGTATGTAAAACTGGTTTCTCCTTTAAAACTCGAAGTAATACTGTGCAATGCAACGAAGTACAGGCTCTATACAGTCACTTGAAAGGAATAACATATTCAATAAGACAAACCGAAACATGATGAAAAATGGTATTTTGCATTGCATATAGTAAATCAAAACCCTTTTCTTTATTAAGTCACAAGAGCCTAAGGAATTTAATAATCTTTGATAAGAGCATCTTTAGAAGGACGTTCAATACCTAATCGTTAATTCACTTTTACTTCCAGCAGTTACAGAATATAGTACAGTTAAATCGGTGTTCATAATTAAAGTAATTAAATATCGTCATAATGTATTGCTAACACATTTGAGACAAGTTCGTAGAGGAAATATTTAAAAAAGAAAGTTTTTTTCATAATGTTAGACCAAGAATTGTGTACTGAAAATGTACTGAACATGTACTGAAATGCATTGAAAATGTACTGAAAATGTACCTAGCACATTGAAAATGTGCTAGGTACTGAAAATGTACTGAACATGTACTGAAATGCATTGAAAATGTACTGAAAATGTACCTAGCACATTGAAAATGTAATAGAACTTACTGAAAGTAAGTTCTATTACATTTTCAATGTTCTAGTTATTGTGTCGTAACCTCCATGAGTAACGACTCATATATTTTATCAATAAACAAATGTGTTTTTATGACGAATCTTTGCTCGTTCAGCTTTAGTAGGTCACTGTTATTAAGTTCAATCCTTCGAATTTTCGACATTTGGGAAATCTAAGGGATCAAGTGAACAATTACCAAGTTAATGGCTTACGTACTCGTCTTCTCCAAACCCAAATTAGAGAAGGACAAGGTTCAAGTCACCTGAAAGGATTTCGTTACCTTTTTATTCAGGTTGTTACACAAAGTTGAATAAATTCATTTCAACTTTTAAAATACAGAAAAGTATTTTTTAAAAAAACATTACACAAATCTCTGTTCGTTCGTGACATTTTTTTACAAATAAATTTAATACGTAATTAAATATTTTTTAGTTATATTTACATAAATCATAATTAATTTAGTAAATAATCATTATCAATTCTTAAATAATGTAATTAAATTCAGAATATCCTATCAAAGAATCTAAGAAAGCTTCTGGATCATCAGAATGGCATTTCAATTCTTTTTCTGCTCTTTCTATAAATTTTTTCGTTTTTTCTTTTTCTGGATCTTTATTGATGTTTTCTTGTGTAATTTCGTTATAATTTTTCTTTTTTTCTTTGTATAATTTTACGTATTCTTCGTTCCTTCGAAATAATTCTTCGTTAGCTTTAACCATATAATTGTATTCAGTTGGATCGAAACTTGGCAAATTTCCTCCGTATTCCAAGGGCAGACAGTCAGGACTGATGTATTCGTGCAAATTTTTCATATCAGTATGCAAATTTACCTGTAATATAAACTTTGTTTTTAGAAGTTTATACATTCTTCAAGCCTTGGATTTTCTCATCAGTTGCATACGTTGGCAGGTGTGAATTACGTAATCAACAGCAATAAATAGGGGAGACCGGGGCAACTTCGGCATGCGGGGCAAGTTTGTCAAGCGCTTTTTTTTTTTAAAACAAATTAAAAGGAGACTTTGGTTATAGGTTAGGCAGTTGAGTTTTATTGGTGGCTTGNGTTTAGTGCTAATTCAATATTATTCATCATCTCACAATGTTGTCTATCACTTATAATTTTCATATTCTAATTAGTTGTATAGATATGGGATTTGAATCAATTTCTACAACTATGATTTTAATTACAGCTTCATCTTCATTCTGATATGGAATCTCTACATAAATTCATCAGCCCAGACTGTTTGCCTTCGGATTATGGAGGAAATTTACCAAGTTTCGATCCCACTGAAGCAAATAATATGATTAAATCTAACGAAGAGTTGTTTATAAGAAACGAAGAATACGTGAAATTGTACGAAGAACAACTAAATAAAAATTTTACTGAGGGTACATTTAGATACATTGGCGAGGATGCAGAAGAGGAAAAGATGAAAAAATTTATAGAAAAATCAGAAGAAAAATTTAAATGTCATTCTGACAATCCAGAGGCTTTCATAGCTGCTTTGAAAGAAGATTCTGAATTTGAAATTACTCATTTTTAAATACTTTCTTGAAGTTAATTTTTCACTAAACAAAATTAGCTAATGGTGACTTTCTTATTTCGTGTTAGTAAATTAATATTTGGAAATCAAATTTTGTATGGGATATAATTTTGTATTAATTAAAATATAACAATTTTATAAGTATAAAATTTAATTTTATTGTGAATAATAATAAAAAAAAAAGTACTTGGGGAGCATCTGTAAGTGCTGTGTCTTCGTTACTAATTTATTTCTTTTTTAGATTTCTTAGAGTTTTATATTTTTTGTAGAGAGTTTCGGTTTGATATAATTACACTAACGTGGTGAGATGTTTAAAACGTTCTATTAAAATCAGTTTAAAATCTGAAGAGAAGACACGAATGTTTGTTTTCATAATTTAGAAAAACGCCGAATAAACACCCGTCAGTTCCAGAATCGGTCATACATGCACATTACCGACCGCGGAACATACACCTACGTGTTTTAATAAATTGTTTCGTCACGAAATCGCACAATTTAAATTCATGTCGTAAGGATCAAAATAAAAAAACTGTAGGCATCAATGTAAATGTACAATCGAAAACTCTATTAAACAGCTTAAAACCGACAATCAAACCGTAAAGTTTACATAGTGAATTTCAAAATTCCAACATCGTCACGTCATTGATCTCATTGAGCTATACATACATTCTGTTTCTTAATGTTAGAGCCATTGTGAAATAATGACATTAATAAAGAAGTAATAAAGCACATTACCAAAGAATATAAAAGAGTTGATTATTGGTTTATATCATATAATAGTAATTTTATCGAAAAGCAATAAGTAAATAAAGATATGAATGAATTTTAACAATGTTGTACAGGATATTTTTGTCTGAAAATGATATTACAGTATTTATGTTGAAGTGGAACTAAGTGATTTTATTTAATATTAATTAATAATATGTCCACTTTGTTTATCAATTACTTTCTGAAATCTATATGGCATTGTTGTAATAAGATTTTTTCTGATCTCCTAATATCGTGCCAAGCCAGATTAAATAGTTGTACTTTGCTTTGCATTTCTATATACTTTCTTTGTTAACGTACAACACCTGTTTTCTATAGGATTAAGATTAGGAGAACCGCGGAATAATCCATGAATTTGCATTGTGAATGAGTAGTTCGAGTTTAATTAATTTATTTTTTTCGTTTTAATTATACTAAATACTAAATTATTTTTTATGTTTTTTTTATATGTAAAATTAAATAGAAGTATACAAATCAATTAAAATAACTGATACTTGTGAAAAATTTTACAAAATCAATTACAAAATAACATTAATTAAGACAATACTGGCTTCAAAGGAAACGGGTTGCCTCCATGTTGTATAGAAAAAAAAANTTTATTTTTTTGGTTTTAATTATACTAAATACTAAATTATTTTTTATGTTTTTTTTATATGTAAAATTAAATAGAAGTATACAAATCAATTAAAATAACTGATACTTGTGAAAAATTTTACAAAATCAATTACAAAATAACATTAATTAAGACAATATTGGCTTCAAAGGAAACGGGTTGCCTCCATGTTGTATAGAAAAAAAAATATGTAACATTACACTTCAAACAATTGGGTATAAAATATTGATGGTGTTACTTTCTGTTACGCAAGTGTTATTTACTGTTTGTATTGGATTCAATACATAAATAATTTAGAACAAAGAACATCTATAATAACAATTACTGTCGTTCTTTGTTCTATGTTAATTAATTGTTTAGACGTCCTTTAGCTGAAACTATTTAGATAAAGGACGTCTAAAGCGTAATTCCATAACGGCAGATCCCGAACATTTATTTCAGTTATCATTGGTACTTACTTCAATTATTATTATATATTTATTTAATTATAAAGTTTCCCTTTTCGTGTTCACGCTTAATTT